AGTAATTAACTGAAGAGATAATAAACCGTTTAAGATACCAAGTCGGTAAGTAGGTATTTGTAACAACTTGCCTGCATAATAAAACTTAATTGGCTTGCCTGCCTACGACGGAACATTACCTACCTATTAGATAATGCTTTAACAAGATTAACGCACTTGCATTCATGCGTACCTACTTGGTAGGTAAGTAGGTATGTGTAATAATAACTAACTAGGTAAAATGCACCTGCATTCTGTGTGAGTAATGATGACAACGTTATTTAAATTATCACAACTTGCAAGATCTATTTATTTTTAATAATGAGACAGGGAAGTTAAATCCCTTGATTCATGAGAAGTCTATTATGTTATTATTATAGCTGAAAAGTAGACTATTAATCTTAATGATTACCGGTATTATTAAATTATCTTAATGGTGCCCGGGCGACATATTAGCGGTTATCTATAAAATGTCGAATGCGCATTGTTAACGTAAACAGGCCTTTGTTATCGGGCCGTTATCGCCCATTGTTTATTGTGCGCCGAATGACCAGCTGTGCTTGTTAACATTTACGTCGTAAGTTCCTTAAAAGGCCTTTCTGATGCATCGTCCGATGTAAAGTGTCTCAAGTGATTACTGTGATAAGTTAGTCACGGCGATAAAATGTCCTAAGTATTGAGGTCAAATCCGGCACGAGGCTGTACCTCATAAATTAAATAGATAACTATCTTGTATCTAAATTATCACATTACCTGCGTAGCCTAAAAGTGAAGTTTATGCCACATTAAAGATGAAATTAATCAAAAATTACAAAGCTATACAAATATTAAATTATTTATTCTGTGAATGTAGCGCGGCACGCAAACCTAAGCCTAAGCCGTGTTAGGTAATCAATCAATAACCTACATCGTGTTAGCAAAATGGTCTGTAACTACTAATAATGAATTTCAGGAGCTAAAAGAATAGAATTCCAATGACACGGCATCACGTTTATTATTGCACGGGTCGATTCATTCATGATAGTAATTCATTCCACCTGACAGACAACCTCCTTACAATGTTTTAGTAGCAAATCGAACAGCATATTGTCAATACAGTTCCCCTATCTAACCACTAAACCTCGTAGGCGGCATTCAATTAAATTAACAGGCGAAATGTCACCAGGGGCAAAGATAGCGAACGTGGTAGGTATATGGTGATGTCGGGATCCAAGTATGTATAGGTAATCTTATTCTCGTCACGAGCGGGACCGGGACGCCTCGTGAGATGGAGAGATTGCAGGCTCGCGTGAGCTTTCAATAGCACGTTGCGCAATTTCCCGCACGACCACCGCCGATAGCAAACTACACCATATCTTCAAGGTGCTCTTGCATTTTAAAGTCACGAATCTCGCGGTAACGAGACAAGTGTAGCCTTACTTGCAACTCACCCAGTCTACCTACCTACATCGGAATTTCGCAAGACCTCGTTAAAACTGCCAACATTCCTCAAACAAATTGGGACAAGACAAGGTTTTTCTAAAACGATCGTGAATAAATAAGGGAAAAATAACACGTCTTTATAAGTAGGTTGTTCTTGTTGTACAGCTTTCCTTTTATAGAGGCGACCATATAAGTGCAGGTCTGTGACCCTCGTCTGTATAATTACATCGATTCAAACAAGGGCCCAGATGAAAGAATCATGCAAACAGCTGGAATAATCTCGCACTCACACGTGTTATGTAACGCAATACGTAGAGATAATTGCTGCATGGCAGTACAGAGAAAGCTTTGTTACTGCTAAATGTCCCATTAACGGTTGTCCGAGTGGAAGTGTTTCATTACACGCTTGGCGACGCGACACGCTCTACTGGCTGTAACGAGATAGCTTTGACTCCGCAAACACGACCGGATAACATGATTGCTTATAAGTATAAGAGCATATATAATAATGTTAGTGAAGAGCAATAATGACAATAATTAGATGATTATAACGTGACAGAAATGAATCACTTTACTTTGTTACTCTAATTATAAAGCTGAATAGCTGCAAATGCTTGATGATCAAGAATGTTGTTTTGAAAAGCCACGAACCGATGAGCACATTTAAACATACCAAGAATTGACGATAAATCTTTGTGGTATTAAAACGTTCGAATGACTTGATTGATCGTATTGAGTCACGCGCTCACCCTACTTCCTCTAATAACGAATGCTTTGAGCCCACGAAATGGGTTTGATGATGGCTTCGACCTCTTGACCTCTTCTGAAGCCCGCGTGCTGTCGGATGAAATGGTATAATAGACCCTGCTCTTGTTTAAAACTAAACGAGCCGCTAACGACTGACGACTAACGAAATTATTACCTACTTGCGGTTTAGTTATTCTCGGACGGAAGACCTACATAGTTAGCTAATGGCACGGCGTACGGTATTGCACTGAAATGAATAATTCAAAACCACGCCACTGCACTGGTGAGTTGCGAATACTGGTTTGCGGTTTTATTAAAAATCTTCACAATAGGGTATTTGAGCAGTTTAGTCGCGACCGTTGGCGTTTCTTGGAACCATTCGCCGCGTGTTTATGCTGTCGGAGTTTTCGCGGAGGGTTTTGTATAATGTGTGCACGTTGTTGCAATAGTTGCGCCTACTCGAGGCCGCCCTTCATGCATAATTCAGGCGCGGTCAGGATTTACGGCCTGCCGTCGCGTCGGGCGGCGTCAGCTCCCGCCGCGCACTTGTGTCAACTTTTTGCCCTTCCTTTCTATCTAATGAAAACCTCTCTCACCGGTCTTCCCGGCGTTTGTCTTGTCAATCAGCCGCAGCGGGCGACGTTGCCGCACTTCCCCATCGAGTTATTTGTTACTCCATTGTCCCCCGCTGATCACTGTCGCATTGTCTCGCAACTTTTGTTTACATTCGTTCAATAGTCGTTTGTTTGTAAAGAAACCAAGTTTGTTTTCTCCGAGTCTCGTATTCTATAGATATCAAATTGTTTAGAGATAAAGTTTGTTGAATTTCTTGTTATCGAACATTCTTGTTTACTAATAATGCCGTTTGTAAATCCGTCGTGGGTTTTATTGTGGTTTTATGAACTGCGTAATTGTGTCGTATCAGTTTGTAAGACAATAACATACCTAGTAGACAGCCTTTATCATTTAAACTTGTGTCTTTAAACTTTTTGGGTTAAGTACCTACCAATATGATGAAGGTGCATAAATAAGTTCTTACATTCAGGAAAATGTAAAGATTTCCATTTAAAAATAAATGTATGTATTTAAAAAAAAACAATCCGTTTTACATTAAGTGTGACAACAAGCAATCATTATACTTAACATTTCTGCCTATTACATTATTATAAGTGCCTGTATTAAATTGGCGTGCCATTACGAGAGACACGGCCGCAAACATCGCAATCTTCGGCCGCGACCGCCGTTCTACTATTTATGTTTGTTATGAATAATCATGCGATGCGATTATGTAAATGCGGATCCTCGTTAACAGCGGCTCATTAAAATTCCATTGTAGTGCGCTCGACACGCAAGCGCTTGTGTAGGTGTCGTTTCGAATTTTTATAAGAATGATTCACATTAATACTTCAGCGTTCATTATTTATCTAAAATGTTTTGTTTTTTTTTTGTAATTAATCTTCCCGTCTGAGTCTGTATCTACGATCGCGTGCGAGTGTAAATGGAACATTGAAATACACTCGCGTGTCGGCTGACGAGACGAGCGGTTAAACTTGTGTGTATCGTTATTTTTACTTTTTACACGTGGCGTGAATACTTTGAACGGTTCTATTCGATTATTACGGTATTACATCCGTAATAAATGAATGACTTATCCAACATTTACTACGCATACTGTGCTTATCGGCTAAAATTCCTCATACTACATACGTTTATTATAATGTAGAAAAGGTTTCTAAATAACGTCATTTAATTGACACGCCAACGACTAACACGCGAAGAAAATTAGTCTCATGCCAATTTTACTGAACAAGTTTAATATTATTAAGTAAATTATAATGCAAAAGTATAGGTAGAAATCGAAAGCATTTCAAATAAAGAAGACATCGGTCAATTAAACCGTCATCCGGTGTAATATTTTATCATCTTTAATTGCGGACATAAAGTCGGGGCTTTTGTCACATTGCCCCCGTTAGCAACTCGCGCCAAGCTCCGCTCAGCAGTGTTGGCACAGTCGGTAGTTGGCGTCCAGCGCCATTCACGCGCGGCGCGCAGCACCGTGCCAGCTGTCGCTACCAGCGCTGCTCATCACCCACTTCCCCTTCCGGCGCNTCCGGCGTCCGACTCCGACGAGCCTCATTAAACATTCGCACCACGACACCCGCCAAGGCTAGAGCGCGAGCGCCACTGAACGCTGTGAAAGTGTCTTACGAAATCGCATCAAGGTTCGCCGATAAAAAATGCCCTCATTATACGATTACGCCCTTACGACATCCGATCGTAAATAAACACCTTTTCTGCCCGCTCATTCCGTTCTCATTAGAGTGACTGACTCGCTAAATTGTCCGATGACTCGGCTGAAAACAACTTCGCGTCCGCATACAATACATATTTTTGTGCAGCTGAGTGGGCGTTGTGTGAATGAGCTTATGTTGGCGGCAGCCCAAACGTGTCGACAACATGAACGCTGACGTCAGCGCTTTGACAACATTCAGCTGATACGGAACACATGACAGATTGAAATTGATCCGCGATAAATCTAAATATATAAAAGGAGAAACTGACTGACTGACTGACAGATCAACGCACAGCCTAAACGGCTAAACGTAGGCACTTGAAATTTGGAAGGTACGTAGCTTAGGTACCGTAGAGGTGCACTAAGAAAGGAATTCCCGAAATTCCCACGGGAACGGGAATTAGCGGGAAAAACGGGATTCACGCGTACGAAGTCGCGGGCGGCCGCTAGTTATTATTAAATTGTTATTTTTAGCAACAGTTTGTTTCAATTGAACATAGACATGTCAAATGTTTTCGAAACCGAGATCAGTGTTTGATAACAGTTTGTATTGTTTCAGGTGTGGCCGTAAGTGTGAGTGCAAGTGATGTCGTCGACGTCAGTGACGAAAACGACAAGTGTGTGAAAGCCGAGGAAGTGAGCAAGCCCGAGGTGGTCGCTAACAGTGAGGGTGAAGTGCGGAGTGAAGTGAGCGGTGCGGGCGCGGATGGTGTGGCCAGCGCCGTGGCCTCCGAGGAGGATGATTGTGTGATAGTGTGCGCTCGCGATGCGGACGAGCGGTCCGACTCGGGCGTGAGCGGGCTCCGCTCGGGCGGCTCGGCGAGCTCGGTGGAGAGCGAGTGGCGCGGCATGGCGCACGGCTACGGCGGCGGCCCGCCCCCGCCGCTGCTTCACCTGCCCCCGCCGCCGCCGGCGCTGTACGCCAACGAGCTGCTGTGGAAGCAGCGCTACCAGGCGCCGCTGCACGCGCCGTTGCACCACGCCATCGCGGACGAGTTCCTCGCCGCGGCCAACTACGACAGAGAGAGACATGAAAGACTGCTACGGTGAGCTTCTCGCACTTTTTCTAGACAAAATTACATTTAGATTAGGCGCACACCGTTGATTTTTAGTTGGCCGATAGTTGTGCCCGATTTCAAATTGTATGAAGAATCTGCCAAATCGAATCGGCGTAGTGTGCGCACTTCCATACATGCCCATACTGATCAACAGCCCGACTAAACTATCGGCCGACGAAAAATCAACGGTGTGCGCATACTCTTAGCAGGCAGTTCGTACTTCCTCCCACAGAAAAAAGAACTTAACGCTCCATAGCCGTTATCGTAGAAATCCCGCAGAACTTGTCTCTCAAATAACAAATATCTCAAGTCAGTGTACTAAAGCTGCAGTTCGTTTCGTGTTTCCTCTACAGAAAAGAACGTAACGCTACGTAGACGTTCGTAGAAATTCCGTGGAACTTGTATCTTACATAGGTAACACACAAATTATCTCAGGTCAGTGTACGAAAGCTGCACACATGATCTTTAGGTAGTTCGTTTCGTATGTCCCCTCACAGAAAATAACTTAACGCTACGTAGAGCTTATCGTAGAAATCCTGTAGAACTTGTTTCCCTCATAAGGATACATTTATCTCTGGCGAAACGCTATCAACATTAAATTCAATGTCAAGGATAGATTCAATCCCTTTCTTGGTCGAATTCAAAGTTTAGATCACTCAAGTTCTGGTAAACCATGCTGAATAAACACCCTACATACCGTAACTATGTAGCGTAGCGATTACATAGACCCTCGTAGTATTTCCGTAGAACTTTTCACTGCATTAGAATTTTATCGTAATGTAATAAGTAATCCAATACAAGTTCGATTTGGTAACGCTCTAATACGCATGTGTATTTATTTCCAATAAAATTAACACAGCGTGTACAATCAAAACTTCATTATTGAGGCCGGAGCAGTTTCGTTCCGCCCGAATGACTCGCTTGTTCCGATGCTTAGTAAATATTGTGAGTCACGGTTGATCGTGTAACTATGTATAGGCATAATTGGTTTAGTTCCAAAGAAACTAGCCTAAGTTATTGTTCCATTCACTTGATATGGGCAACGTTTTACTAGTATGTCATTGTATTGGGACACTAACGTGCGATATCTAAACGTTTTATAACACAATTAATGAGATATCTAGAAGGTGTATCAAACATTAACGTAAAATCGTGCTGGAAAAGCTCGTAAAAGCGCCGTAAACTGAAAATACTTCGCCGTGACCTTGGCGTCGCGTGACCGCCGCTTATCTCTGAACACTGAACGCATTTTTAAATAGAACTTACCTAAAATCGTTAACGTTTACAATAACAATATACATATTTACGATGAAGAAACCACCAAGAAAAGAAGAAAGAAAGAAGTGCCACAAGAAACTTAGGCCTTAAATAATGTGTTACGCTCAGAATATAAATGTTCTGTATTTTGAGGTGTCACGATCAATTTGATAGATACATCTATACTTACTTTCTACATGCAATAAGAATTTACTGCCTAAAAAAAACCTTACCGTTACTTGGGCATTCCATTTTGTATTTGTCATTAACTATAAATAAACTTATCAAACAAAGTCTTCAATGCTTTGCGTCTAATTAGTAGGTAATTATGACATATAAAAACAACAAAGATAAGGCAAAATAGGAATATTTCATACTTGGAATGTCATTTCTGAGAAAACCGCCTTCGTGAGAATTCTGATCAAAACAACAAACAATGATCAAATTACCAATTTCATGAATATTAGCTTTACCTATTTCTTCTTTTCGCATGAAATGTATTTTTGTTAGATGTTATTTTCTTAGGAAATGTTATTGTTTGTTTGTTTTGTACACAATTACTCTTAAATTAACTCCTGTAAACAAACAACAAAATTAGACCTGAAAATAAACATCGTTATTTTGACATCGTTAACAGACACAAATGCAGACTTTACTTTTTTGTTGCATTATAAGTTAACTCGGGCACAACTTTACGTCTTCATTGAAGCTTTAAATCCCAATTTCACTGACTCGTTTATCATTTTGTACAAACTCCTCCCTAATCTAAAAATCTCACTAATGCCACGGTACAAAGAAATGATCCTCTATTCAAAAATGGTTTGTTTTGCTCCTGGAAAAATTCGACATAAGATTTATCCATAGAATAGAAAAAAATATTATCATCCTATACAAAATACTTTCAATTTTAAATATACCTAGTTGTTGCTAAATCCTTCCAATTCCAAAGTTCCAGTTACGTGAGTTGTGTAAAAATTTGAATATTATTTAAATAAATATCTTGCGATGAGGTAACCCGTCATGTTTATTTTGGCACTGATTGAGGTAGGTAAAATAAATCCCTTACGTAATTTGTCATTTTCAAAGTAGAGAACTCATTGTTAAGGTCTTACGTGATTTATCATTCAAACATCTTATTGTTAAGTAATAATACTCATAGTAAAATAATGTAGAAGCATACTATTTATTTATTTTCAAGATTTTCAAACCATCATACTGTGACTGAAACTAAACTAATAAAAATCGTTATGCTCTAATAATCCCTAAAATGCCCTAAATAAGTAGTTATTTGCGAAATGAATGAAAATATTCCCTAAACAGTAGAATCTACGCAAACGTGACCATGATAGGCATACCTAATTTGAATTAACAAATCAGTTTCACGCTATCCATCCATGGCCAACTAGTCTGAACCAAATGTCAAATCGAAACGATCGGAATTTCCAGTTATAAATAAAATGGCGCGGACGTAATCATTATAGCCTGTGGTTTAATTAGATTCACGTCGTCGTGCTTGCCGTGCTGAGACTCGGCCCAAGGCTGCCTGCTCGGCTCTGCTCGAGCTCTAGGTCAAGGCTGCGTATTGTAATGCCGCGTATCCGTATAACGAACTTCAACATGTTCGATATCTTATTTGCATTTGCGTAACGTAATGACGTCACGTTAATGATTATTTTTAGGTGTTATGTGATAATGTAGATTTAGATACGTGCTTCATTTTAAATATTGGTTACATGAATTAAGTATTATTTATCGGTTGTTGTCTAAACATCGCAGTGAAATTAAAATAAATTGTAGACATTTGTGAATATAATTTGAATAAATGTAGAACTGATTTCATTACTATTTCGAGACAAAATATAGAGCTCCTAATTTGTTTGACAATAGAAATCACAAACTTATAAGACAGCGTTTTTTCTCCAAGAAACTGACCTTTATTTCACCTTGGAATGAAGTCTGCAGTTATGTTAATAGTTTTCGAAGTCTTATTTCGTATACAGATGCATAACAAGTTAACAAATTATTTTAGGTTCATTTTCTTGCTACTGTTTTGCAGAATAGATGTATTTTCCTTTTAATATTAAAATTTACGATGACAAACACTTTTTGTTATCAATTGTCTGCAAATAAGGAAGTACAAGTATTTACATACACACCTGAATGATTGTTATTTTTTCTTTGAATGAACGATTTTTGTTTTCAACTTGTTTTTTAAAGCGCTTAACTGGGTTCAAAGGTCACCTTGGGCGCGTAGAAAAAAAATATGAATGTTTTTCTTTTTTATTTAAACTTTGCAACATTATAAGTTAGATTTTGTGTGTTAATGATTAATTTAAAACTCATGTCATAGGCAGAGGTCAGTGACACGTATTAGTAAAACCACAGAATAATAATAAGTACTGTAAAGCGAGCAAATATGAGTAATAGTTTCCCAATAGTTTTAAATGTTTTACCTACATAAAAGTGATCGTTTTCTCAATTTACATACTTAAGTATCTGCCTCTGTTAACTGCTAAAATAAGTAACAAATTAATTACTAAATATCTCATCTAGCAATATTATGTATTCTGAACATTGTGAAATTAGAAATACTTTCCCAATTAACCTTTAACTTGATAAACCNTAACTTGATAAGTTCAATTATTTAAGTTTCTTTAGCTACCTGCTGCCGGTAATTAAGTTTGTGTAATAAGACTTTGAAGGTATTTCTGATCAGAAAGTATGAAATTAATAACATTACTTCAAATAACATTGCTCGTGAGAACATAAATAGTAAGTAACCTTGACATTAAAATGTCAGATTGCGATACAATTAACGCTACGTTAATGATAGGTAGTTCTTCTTAATGATATTGTTTACTTTCTGTATTTTTACGTCATTGTAAAATCCCAGTTTATCAACTTCTTTAATACACTCGGCGTCAAATAAATCGCACCTCCCGCGACAAGCACTTTCAAACGTATGCATCACCACTTCCCACCAATATTGGTACCATTTGAAAGACTTCTAAACTTCATTTCATTNGATTATGCAAAATTATTTAGTATTTATATTTTCAATTATTTATGCAAACAATCAAGACGCCATGCGCCATGTTCAAGTTAAGAAAGAGAAAGCGATCTTGTTTTGACGTTAGAGCGATAAGGATGCGTGCGCTGCGGACACAGATTAGTTAGTGCAGAATCGTTAAAACTATAGCTATCTCTTTCATTTGCGTGCTATTTCGTATCTTTTGTTTCACTTATCAGTTACATTTGTCAATGTGTGCAATTTGGAACAGCTCGGCACGGATTAAAATCGTAATTTCTATGAACGTAACATATCTATAGTTCTGTAATATCATTGGTTGCGAGACTTGGTTTTTTTGACAAGTATTGTTTTTGATGGGATAAAACTGTTAAGTTGGGATTTATTGCTATCCATGTGTTAAAGAGGATACGTGTGATCATTATTTGGTTTTATAACCATAAAATTTGGTCTAATTGATCCCAGAGGTGAGCCCAAAGTGAGGTCTTTTTTCAAGTCACATTTATGGTATATGTTAATAATTTATTAAGAAATTAAATGTGTTTTTCTTTAAGGATATTTATTGGGCTTTCAAATAACACCAATATTGTAGGGGCACCAAGATTGTGTCAGAAGAAAATCTTCAAAATCAAGAAGGTGCGGTTTATTCGATGTTGAGTGTAGTTTCTGTGTCGATATAAATTTTCCGGGAGCATGGTGATAA